CTCCTCCTCCTCATCCTCCTCTCCTCCTCCTCCTGGCTCGCTTGTCCTCCTCCTCCTCCTCCTCCTCCTCCTCCTCCTCCTCCTCCTCCTCCTCCTCCTCTCATCATCAGCATCAGCAGCATCATCATCACCATCATCAGCATCATCATCATCAGCATCATTATCATCAGCAGCATCATCATCACCAGCAGCATCAGCATAAGCATCATCAACATCATCTCCATCAGCAGCATCATCACCATCAGCATCAACATAATCATCACCATCAGCATCAGCATCAACACCATCACCATCCTCATCCGCATCATCATCCTCATCCTCATCCGCATCCTTATCCACCTCATCCTCAGTATCCTCATCCTCATCCTCATTATCATCCTTATCCTCATCCTCATCATCATCCTCCTCCTCCTCCTCCTCCTCCTCATCATCATCATCATCATGATCAGCATGATCATCACCATCATCAGCATCATCATCATCATCATCATCAGCAGCATCAGCATCGTCATAGTCGTCCTCATCGTCCTCAGCGTCCTCCTCCTCCTCTTCCAAGTCCTCCTGCCACTCCTCCTCCTCCTGCTCCTCCTCCTGTTCCTCTTCCTTCTCCTCCTCCTCCTCCTCGTGCCCCTTTGCCTCCTCCTCCTGCCCCTTTTCCTCATCCTCCCACGAGGGACTCCTTCCCGTCGCACACCCGACACATATCATCAGGGCCAGCTGGAGGGTTTCGTCCGACTCTTCCCCGCCACTTGCGATCGTGAACCTTGGAAATATGTAACACTTGCACGGACGGAGGGGTGGTCTTCACAATGGAAGCATTACCGTAACGCCAATCACAACCGTTTGGAACGATTGCAGCAATTACATAAACGGGTTGAAGATGGTTCTCAACACGTGACTCTCGCTTTAATTCCAAGCGTACTCTTCTTCAGGGCTAGTAACCGCCACGCAGGCGGACCGCAGGTCATATTCAGAGTGTGGCTCTCGGCCGGGCGCCGCGCACATTCGTCGTACAGTGTTGCGGCAACTTTTCAGATGGACCACGCATCGCTTTCAATACCTACCTCTCTCTATCTGTCTCTTCCTGTCTCGCCTCAGCCTCGCGCGCATTGGTCTGAGCAGTCTGCAGCAGTTGCTAGGGACCAGGAACTAGGATGGCCATGGATATTAGTTGTAATGGTGTTCTGTTTTCGCCCCCGCGCCGCGCGTTTGCGCCAAACACAAAAGACAATCACGGGGGTGGCGGATTGGAGGAGGAGGGGACAAAAAGGGAGACAGAAATGAAGAAACAAAGAGAACCAACAAAACAGATAACATCCAAACATAGCGAAAGAGAGAGATGGAGAGAGATGAGCGAGACAGGCAGGGAGGGCGAGAGGAGAGAGAGAGAGAGAGAGAGAGAGAAAGACGAGCGAGAGACAGAGAGAGATATATACACATACGTGACAACAGAGAGAGAGAAAGAGAGAGGAGAGAGAGAGAGAGAGAGAGAGAGAGAGACAGGGATACACAGAGAGGAGCGAGAGAGAGTCAGAGAGAGGGGGAGAAGGGGTCGCACCAATTTGAAGGGAGGTTCGTCCAGGCCCCGCGGGGTATCAGGCCCGCGCGGAACGAACAGGGTATGGGAACGCTTCTCCATCCTAGCGTGGCCAGTTTGATCCCGATTGGATAGCAAAGCCGGTCTGTGGTGACCAGGCCGCTCAAAGGCCTGTCTGCGCACCCGGAAAACAGGCGCCATCTGCAAGCGCACTTTGGCATGCGCGCCCCGGCACCGGAGTGAACAATGGCGCCGCTCTGGGTCATCCCCCGCCGCGGCCAAGCGCTGGGGCCACGGAGGAGCTGAGTTGCCAACAGTTCACGCCGCGCCCTTAGAACATGGAGCAGCTGACACTGGCGTGCTAGCGGCGGGCGTCGAAGCGCGCCTGGTGGCCAGCCGGGGGGGGCGCCCAAGGTGACCAGGCCCTGGAGAAGGTCTTTCCAAGCTCCCTGTGGTCTGTAAAGACGGGGTCCTGACTCTTCGCGGGTGCTACGCGGGGAATGCGTGAACAATAATGGTAGCACGCTGGTGCAGCGTCGCGATGCTGGTAACGCGGGCAGCCCCGCGATCGATGTCGGCAAATTGACTGGCAATGGCAAGGCGCTGCGTGGCGCGACTCCGTTCGGCGGTCTGTGCTGGAGTCACTGGAGCGCCTTTGCCCTGGCAGGCGGCGCCAAGGCTTGTAAGGCCCCGTGACCTTTTGGGACGGGGTAGCAGCGCTATAGAGGGATGCGCTGCGTCGAAGGCCCGGGCGCGCGGCGGCGCTCTTCATCCAATCGGGCCGCGACGCGACTTGTCGCCAACTCCGCGAAGATCCGTTTTCAGGTCGTCAGCGCCGGAGTCGTGGCCCTGATGGCCGTTCGCCTCTGGAGACGCCATCGCCCCCTGCCTTCTCGGCCGCAGCAAGGGCGGGAAATGGCCGGCGGGGGCTGGGCAACATTCCGAGCGGTCAAGCCCCCGTGTGACCTGCGAGATAGACGGCCCGACGCCTGGTGCGGGGCCCTGGGGCGCGCGCAGCGCCACCCCGCCGCGCGCGCGACTCGCGACGTCGCGGCGCGCGCGCCGCCCCGTCGCACTGCCCGACAGTGCGAACCGCCCCGCGCTCACCGTCGCGGCTCTCGGCGCGTTCACGCTCGCGTTGTCATGCCGCTCCGTCGTGCTGCTGAGCGATGTGGTGCCGGGTTCCCTGGCGCTCCTCAGCGCCGAGGTGCTGGTCGCAGACGAGCCGTTCGCGGTCGCGGCGTTCATTGCTCCGCTCGCTTCGTTCGTCGACGCGAGACAGCCCATGCTGGGCCCCGTCGTGATGCGCCGCGCCGCTGTGCTTGATCCCATCGTGCTGCGACATGGGAAAATGCTCGGACCTGAGGTGCCGCTCAACCGCGCGGCGATCTTTGCGCCGATGGCCCTGTCGCGCCGCTCGCCGCCGCGGCGCCCGGATCCGCCGCGCTGCTCAATGCCGAGGTGCTGGTCGCGGGCGCACTGCTGTAAGACGCGGCGTTCGATGCGCTGTTCGTCTCGCTCGCGGGCGCGGAGCGGCTGGGAACGTCCTAGCCGCGCTGCTCAGCGTCGTCGCGCTCAATGTCGCCCCGCTGCGCTGCGTCGCGGAGCAAGTCCCGGGCCTGCTGCTCAAAGGCGCGAGGCTCGTTGCACTGCTTGTCTCGCTCAAGGAGAGGCTTCTGGCGATGGTTCTCGTTTGGGTGCTAAGCGCTGCGACGCTTGACGCGCTGGCCCCTGCCTTGATGCTAGAAGACGCGGCGCTCGTTGCACTGCTCGTCTTGCTCGCGCGTAGAAGATGCATTCCCCGCGTCGCGCCGCTCAAAGTCGGGGCGTTCAACTCTTTTGCATTGCTCGGCGTCGCGGCCCCGAGTGCAGAGGCGCTTCTCGAAGACGTAGTGTTCGACGCGCTGCTTGCCTCACTCGCAGGTGCATGGCTACCAGGGCGGGGCTGGGCCACGTCGCGCTACTTAACGTCGCAAGGCTCGTCTCTACCGCGCGGAACTGCGATGGGGAGCTTGTCTGGGAGGCGCTGCTCAAGAACGCGCCGGTCACTGCGCTGCTGGTCGCGCTTGTATATGCAATGCTGTCGGTGCTGGACATGGACCCCGCGTTGCTGCCCGACGTCGCGATGCTGGGTGCATTCGTGCTGGCTCAGCGTCGGGGTGCTGGTCCCTGACTTGCTGCTTGCAGAGCTCGCTGCACAGCTCATTCACCAGCAATTGCGAGGCCGACGGTGCCGGCCCCGTCGCGCTGCCCCATGTCGCTGCGCCCCGCTTCTCCATCGCTCGGCTCAGCGTCGAGGTGCTGGTTGCGGCCGCGCTGCTGCCAGAGATGGCGTCCGATGCGCGGTTCGTCTCCCTCGCAGGCGCGAGGCCGCCGGGGCTGGGGCTCGTCGCGCCGCCCAACGTCGCGTTGCCCAATTCGCAGTGGCGCGCGGTGCCAGGCCCGGGACGTTCTGCTCAGAAACGAGATGGTCGTTGCACTGCTCATCGCGCTCGTGGATTTGCATCAGCTGGCGCCGGGCCCCGTCTGGATGCGCAGCGTCGAAGCGTTCGGTCCTGCTGCGCCGGTCAGCGTCGAGGCGCAGGTCGCGGACGCGCCGCTGCAAGACGCGTCGTTCGGCGTCCTGATCACCGCCCTCGCGGGTGCGAGGCTGCCGTGGATGGGCCCCGTCGCGCTTCTCAACGTCGCGGTGATCCAATTCGCAATGCTACGCGGCATTGAGGAGCTGGTCCGGGATGTGCTGCTCAGAGACGCGATGGTCGGTGCGCTGCTCGTCTCGCCCCTTGGTTCGAAGCAGCTGGCGCAGGGCCCCGTCTTGATGCGCGGCAGCGAGATGCTCGATCCCGCCGCGCTGTTTAGTGTCGAGGCGCGGGTCGCCGATGCGCCGAGAGTCGCGGTGCTCGTTGAACCGCTTGTCTATCTCATAGAAGTGAAGACGTTGATGCCAAATGCCGTCGCGCAGCTGACGGACCCAAGTCCGTCGAGTTGCTCAGGGTCGGGGTGGCGGTCGCGGCCGCGCTGCTGAGAGACGCGGCGTTCGGTGCGCTGCTCGTCTCACTCGCATCCGCAGAGCTGCCAGGACTGCGTCTCGCCGTGCCGATCGCCGCCGCAGACGCTCGAGTTCGTCGTGGTGCGCGGCGCCGCGATGGTCCCGGACGCGCCGTTCGATGACGCGACGCTTTTCGCGCTGCTCGTCTCGCCCGGAGAAATGAAGCTGCTCATGCTGTGAGCCGTCTTGACGCGCGCCGCCGCGATGCCTGGCCGTGCCGCGCTGCTCGGCGTCGTGGCGCTGGCCCTTGACGCGCGGCGGAAGGACGCGGCGCCCGTTGCGCGGCTCGCCCCGCTCGGACACGCGCGGCCTTTGATGCAGAATCGCGTCGCACTGCTCACCGCCGCGGCGCCCGGCTCCGTCGCCCTGTTCAGCGACGAGATACCAGTCGCCAACTTGCTGCTGAAAGACGGGGCGGTCGAAGCACTGCGAGTCCCCCTCGGAGGTGCGATCCCGCCGACGCTGGGCCCCGTCGCTGCGCGCGACGCGGAGATCGACTCCGTCGCGCTGCCAGGCGTCGTAGAGCTAGTCCCGGATGCGCCGCCCAAGGACATGGCGCCCGTCCTACTGATCGTCGCACTCGTCGGCGAGGGGCCGCCCGGGCTGGGCCCAATCGAACTTCCCGACGTCGCGGCGCTCGGCCCCGTCGCGCCGCGCGGCGTCGGGGCGCCGGCCACGCCCGCTCTGCTGCGCGGCGTTCGGGGCGCTGCGCGCCCCGATTGAAGATGCGGGGCTGCTGGCTCTAAGCCTCGTCGTGCTGCTCGATGTCGCAATGCTCAATGTCGTCGCACCGCGCAGTGTCGCGCTGCTCCTGGACGCGCAGCTCGGGGGCACGACGCTCGCTGCGCTACTCTTCCTGCTCGCGGATGCAAGGCTGCAGGCGCTGCGCCCAGTCGCGTCGCGAAGCGCGATGCTTGGCCCCGCCGCGCTGCTCAGGGTCGAGGTGCTAATCTGCATCGCGCTGCTGAAAAAACGAAGTGCGTGCTCCCCGCGCTGCTCGTCTGACTCGCATGGCGGGCCAATCGGCGGCGGGCCCCGTCGCGCTGCTCGGCGCCGCGGTGCTCGACCCCGCCGCGCCGCGCGGCGCCGGGGTGCACGGCGCGCGCCCGCTGCTGCGAGGCGCGGCATTCGAGGCGCTGCTCGTCTCGGTCGAAGACGCGCGGCTATTGGGTCTAGGCCTCGTCGTGTTGCTCGACGTCGCAATGCTCGATCTCGTCGCGCGGCGCAATGTTGCGCTGCTCCTTGGCGCGCTGCTCGGAGGCGCGAGGCTCGTTGCGCAACTCTTCTTGCTCGCGGGCGCGAGGCCGGCGGCGCTGGGCCCCGTCGCGGCGCGCAGAGTCGCGATGCTCGGTCCCGCCGCGCCGCCCGTCGTCGAGGCGCGCGCGCTCGCTGCGCTGCTCGTCTCACTTGCAAGGCGGGGCAATTGGCGGCGGGCCCCGTCGCGTTGCTCGGCGACGCGATGCTCTGCTCCGTCGCGTCGTTCAGCGTCGTGGCGCTGGTCGCGGACGCGTCGTTGAAAGACGCGGCATTCGGTGGGCTGCTGATCCCGCTCAAAATGAGGCTGCTGATGATAGGCCCTGTAACACTGCGCATCGCGGTGGAACTTGACTCCGACGAGCTGCACGGCCTCGCGGCGCTGGCCGCGCAGGTGCTACTTCAGGACGCGGGCCCCCTAGCACTGCTCATCGCAATCGTGGGTGCGGCGCTGCTGGCGCCCCTGTCCGCGACCCCTCGGGGGGGTCCTCCATGCGCTGCCCGTCGCGCCCGTAAATGCGGGGGCGTTGGCGCTGGCCACCGTCGCGCTGCCCGACGCTGTGGCGCACGGCCCCCGCGCGCGGTTCAGCGCCGAGGCGCCGGTGGCTGGCGCGCCGCTGGGGGGCGGGGCGCGCAGTCAGCGCGCTGCTCGCCCCGCTCAATGCGAGGTCGCAGATGCTGGGCCCCGTCGCTCTGCGCGTCGCATTGGCGCTCGACTCCATCGCGCGGCGCGGCGCCGCGGCGGTGGTCTAATAGGCGCCGATTGAGAACGCGCGGCACGTCCCGCTGCTCGCCGCGCTCGCGGGCGCGAGGCCGCCGGCGCCTGCGCCCGCGAGCCCTGGCCGGCCGGTCGCAACCGCGGGGGCGACGGCGACCGCGGGAAAAGCCCGGCAAGCGCTCGACGGGGGCGCGCGCCGACATGCGCGCGAGCGGAGCTTGCTAACTGGCCCCTCTGCCGCGGACTCAGCTCCCGGGCGTTCGCGCGCCCTGTCGGCGCCGCAGCGGCTGGCGCGAAAGCTAATTAGCGTGCGGGCCCGGCGGTTCGGCGGCGTTCCCGCGTCGACAAGGCTGAAGTATCCGTTGGCCCGTGCCCTGACGCTGACGCGCTGTAATATTTCACCCGCTTGGCCTCGTCAGGGAGGTCTCGCTTTCCGAATGGGGAAGGGCCGAACTTGACGCGCGCAGGGCGGCATCATTGCCACTCGTCAGCAAGACGACCCGATGCTGGATCTGATCCTCCGCGCGGCCAATGACCCTGCGCTGTTGGCCGTGGACGGGGTTCTTTACTTGGCTGGCAACCGATGCCACGGTGCCTCCCTGAGTGAACAAATGCGCGGGTGGAAGGATGGGGCCATTGGCGCGGGGCCTCGCGCCGGCCCTGGCGGCCATTGCGCGTGCCCTGGCCGGCCCAAGATCACTCCCGAGGCTGGGCGACTGGGCCCCCGCGCTGCCTGGCGCGCCGTTGGGTTGGCTCGCCTCGTCGCGGGTCGTCCGGATCGCCAGGTCGCGTGAGTGTTGTCGCGGGGGCTGCAGACACGGAGCGCGGCGGTGCTGCCACCGGCGTTTTCCGCGCCACGACGCTTGGCTTCTCCGTGGGCTTCACCATGGTGGGCGTGCCCTTAGGTGTTGGCTCTGGCTGCAGCGCTGGAGTCCAGGGTCCGCGGCTGCCCTCCCCCGAGACAACTGCCAGGAAAATGTCGGAGTCCCAAAAGTCCATCGCTTGTGCTGGGATGTTACTGGTGCGAGATCGCGTGGTCGACCCCTTTGAACATGGGCGTGATCGGGACGTCCCTGTCTGGCGTGGCGAAGCTTCTGGCAAGGGGCTGCGCCGTGATCCTGGTGGATAACGGCCGTGGCCAGGAATCCCGGTGGGTCACGGCTGGCGCCCGTATCGCATGCAATGGCAATGCGCAGCTTGGTGTACTTGGTTTTGGACCGCCTGCGCGATTTCATCAGCCCGCTCCTGACTCGTGCCTGGTTGGAACGACATTGCTGGTAAGCGGTCTCGAAATTGGCTGGTATTTTTGAACAGATTCGGCGTAGGCCGGAGCAGTCCAGTCAGCGCCGCCTCTGCTTTGAAAAGCAGCGGTGCAAACCTCCTGGTTCACGAAAAGGCCCTCTGGACAGGAGGCGTGGCGGCCATTGCCTGATGGCTTGGGCTGCTGTGGTACATGACGCACACGGCGAGGGGCTCCAGGAACAATGGCGGCTCGCGTGGGGATATGGATGTGACGCGGATCTGTCACACTGTGCGATTCGGCTGCGTGTCCAGTCTCGCCACGCGTGGAGAAAACTGAAACCTGCGTTGGGGGCACCGCGTCGCGACTGCACATTGGGTCACGGGCCCTCGAACCGAAACGAAAGAGAAAAAGAGAGAAAGAGAGGAGGAAGAGGAGGAGGTAGGGTGGGCGCCTCGAGCTCGGCGCTGTGGCTGGCAGTGGCCCAGCCGCACCACCCGCCCGCCCGCGCGGGCAGTGGGCAGGCAGACCGGCCGCAGGGGCCACGCCGGGCGCTGGGCCGGGCGCGCCGGGCACTGTTCGGTGCAACCTCTCGGAGGGACGGGAGGGGATGGGCGAGGCGAGTCGGGCGGGTGCCGAAAAGGGACCCCGAAAGGCCCTTTTAGGTTCTTTGTCTTCACCCCCCATTGAGGCCACCCTCATCATTACATGCTGGAGCCGCGCGAGCGCGAAGTCAGTCTGGCGTGACAGGCCCTGCGAGGGCAACGCCGGGGGGGCCGGGGCTCTCGAAAGACGCGCTGCGTGGGGGGACGAGGGGGGGGGGGCGGGCGGGGGGCGAAGGTCGTGTGCGCCGAAGACGGGGAGGCAGGAAGAGGGGCGTTGCAGCATGGCCCGAGGCATGCGCGCAGACGGGAGGGAGGCAGGGAACGTGTGGAGGGGAAATCAAGGTGGCCGTGGTATCTGTGAGACTTCATGGGCCCTGTCATGATCTCCACACGCGCCTAGTCCTCATGCCCCCACCAAAAAAAACGCACATGAATCGGCTGTGTGCAACTGGATTTTTCTCCCGGCGCCAGAAAGCGCCGTGAATGACCAGACACCGAAGAATGTGCACCAGGGTTGTGCCGAAACCAACTGCACGCAGCAGACTTCGGGGAAAGGAACCAATGGCTCTCGCATCTGGACGTCGCGACTAGCGAGCAATATCGATGGTGTTATAAAACTCCATGGCAATATACATACATATATATATATATACGTGTATGAAATTGCAGTTGTGTGTATGTTTCTTGCCTCATCAACAGACGTGCTTATGGTGCCCGACTGCATATACGAGGTAAACTGGGAATTGCACGAGGGGCAGCCTGCAATAAGCGAGCCACCACGCAAGACCGTGGCCTGCGCAGAGAAACTGAAACTTACTTTGCCACGCCACCGTAGCAGGGCTGTCCTGCGAACGTGGCCGAAAGCAGGGCCCCCCACTCTCGTGCCACGTAGATTGTGCAATATACGTAAGTCGTGCAATCTATAGGTGGGGCAATGTAGGTTGTGCTATATGTAGCGCAATCTGTGCTGCCAGCGATCAAAACGTGCGCCACAAGCTCATTTTTGTCGTGCGATCTACGCGGTTCACTCCAACGGCGGCGACGGGCACCGACGAGGCGGCGACGGGGCGGCGACGGACGGAACTAGCCGCCAGACCGCTCACACGACCCAGACGACGGGCACCGACGAGGCGGCGACGAGGCGGCGACGGACGGGACATAGCCGCAAGACCGCCCACGCGGTCGAGTTTCTCAGAGGAAATATGAGAAACCTTAAGTGCAAGCACTGTTTGGGGAACGATACCCTGGCGGCAGGAAGACCCTAAACAACTTCACACAATTACGATAGGGGGGGCACATCGGCCCAGAATCGGCAGTACATCGCAACTGGGTCGGCGATGAGGCCACGGGCACTCTCACGCTCCTGGAGAAGAGCCAGTACAGCCGGGCCGCGATGGGCGATGAGTCGGGGCTCGGTCAGGCGGGAACTGCTGGGTGGTACGATTCGCAGCGATTCAGCTGGACCTCTGAACCTGATCGATCAGCGCCGCCATGACGACGCCTGGTCGCCGCCATGCCCTGTTGATGTCCAGGGTCTTCGCTTCGGCGCGGGCGCCACTTGCGCGTCCTGCGGGTTCGATGGGGGCTCGGGGGCCGCAACTCGCAGAGATGCCCGAGGCCACCTGTTAGCGATACCCGCACCCCACACGCATGGGGCGTCACGGAGTGGAAAGGGTGCAGCAAGAACCATCTATGGAGGCGCGGCTATGCAGTACGGTCGAGCAGGTCTCATGTGCAGGGTATAACAGACCGACAGAAAGTAGTCACGGCACGTGACGCACGTCACAACATTGCATGAGACTATCGCCATGGCGAACACGACACAACACCCACAACATCGGCGATGCGCACGGCTCGCCAACGCGACACGAACACGCGATGCACTGACCAAGACGTCCAGGCGGTCACGGAAACGGGAGGATAGAACCAGGCGGAGGCTATATCAAAAAACGCTCGCGTTCTGTGCTGAAGAACTGCTGCGCTGGTTCAGAAGTGCAGCCAATCTGGCCCGAACAAGCCCATGCAGGTCTTGCAATGCATGTATTGGGGGTGGCGACCTGGCGTTGTATGTCCGCCTGCCCATCTGCATGGAAACCTGCCGCATATCATCAGAGGAGCCATCGCACCCTTGAGACACAACAGAAACACTGGAACCACCGCAGCTGCAGAGTAGAGCGCGGGGGCGCCCGGGCTGCCTGCCTGAAACCCTCCCAAATGCAGGAGGCATACGACTACGAAGCTGCGTGCGCGCACGCAGCGGGCCCCGCCAGGCAAAACAACAGATGCCCCTGGCGTCGCAACTAGTGGGACAGGTAACGGCCGAAACGGCAACAAAAACATCACTCGCATTTCGGTCTTTGCATGCAGTCGGCCTTGATTGGACAGGACACGCGAGAGGACACTAGACCCTTCCGAGGGCCACATCGCCATAGGAGTGTAAGAAGGCAAGTGTCGCGAGGCACAAGACACAAGGGTACCCTTGAGATGGCAGGGTCGACCTGCTAATCCGGGCCGACTGTACGAAGAGAAGCCGACAGCCCGACCACACCGCCAGCGCTAGATTTCCCTGATCAGAAGACGTGTACACATGCCAGCGTGTGAGAAACCGCGCCCGTGGTACACTCCCAAAGGGGGGGGGTCCCCGCTTAGCTGTCCCACACCCCCTTGGACCTGCCCTGCCGGAGCCCCCCCCCGCTCATGTTTCTCCGCCCCTCGGAAGCTAACCCCCCCTCCTTTTCGCGCTCTGGAGCTATCCCCCCCTCCCCCCTCCCTGTCCAAAGGGGGGGGGTCAGCTATCCCCCCCCCCCTGGACCTCCCCTGCCGGAAACCCACCCACCCCCCTCTTTTTTTTCCGCCCTTCGGAAGCTACACCCACCCCGTCCCCCCCTTTCGCGCTCTGGAAGCTCCCCAACCTTCGTTTCCAAGGGGGGGCTTAGGTACCTCCCCACCCTTGAACCCCACACTGCTGGAATCCCCCCCCGCCCCCTCCCCCCTTTTGGGCTAAGGGGGGGGCTTGGAAGCTCTCCGCTAAAGGAAGGGGCGCCAAAGACCAAAAGAGCGCCGAAAACCAACAGAGCGCCGAAAACCAAAGAGCCACCGAAAACCGAAATGGTGCGAAAACCAGAGGGCGCCGAACACCAAGGAAACGCCAAAAAACGAAAGGGCATCGTAAACAAAAACGGCGCCGAAAACCAAAGATGCGCCAACAAAAACAAAAGGAACACCAAAACCCAAAGGAGAGCCGAAAACCAAACGGGCGCCCCCCCCCAAAAAAAGCCGACACCCAAAGGAGGCCGACAAACCGAAGGAGGGCTCCGAAAACCACAAGGGGCGGCGCCGAGAACCAAAGGAGCGCCGAAAACCGAAAGGTCGCCAAAAACCAAAGAAGCGTCGAACACCATGGTGGTGCAGAAAACCGAAAAAGAAAGACGAAAATCAACAAAACGCCGGAAACAAAAAGGTGCACCGAAAACCACAGTTACGCAGGAAACCAAAAAGACACCCAAAACCAAAGGGGCGCAGAGGGGCGCCGAACACCCAAGGGACGCCGAAAACCAAAAGAAACGCCGAAAAACCAAGGAGCACCGAAAACCAACGAGGCGCCGAAAACTGAAAGGGCGCAGAGTAACCAAAGTGGCGCCGATGACGAAAAGGGCGCCGAAAACGAAAGGGGCGCTGAAAATCAGAAGGGCGCCGAAAAAACCAAAGACGCGAAAACCAAAGAGCACCAAAAACGAAAGGCGCGCAGATAGCCGAAGGGCGCCTAAAATCAAAGGGGTGCTGAAAGCCAAAATGCGCCGAAAACCAAACGGCGCCGAAAACCAACAGGGCACCGAAAACCAAAAGAGCGCCGAAAACCAAGAGGGCGCCGAACATCAAAAAAGGCACGCAGAAAAACACAGAGGGCGCCGAACACCTGGGACGCGCCGAAAACCAAAAGGGGTACGCAGAAAAACAAAAAGGGCGTCGAACACCAAAGGAGCGCCGAAAACCACATGAGCGCCGAAAACCAATGAAGCGCCGAAAACCGAAGCCCCAAAGGCCCAAAGGGGGCCGAAAACCAAAGAGGCGCCGAAAACCGAAGAGATATCGAACCACAAATACGCCATAAACCAACGGGCGCCGAAAACCGGAGAAGAGAAGCAGCTCCGAGCCAGCTGGAAAGGCCAACAGAAGGAGGGGTAGGGGGGGGGAGCTTCGGACCCTCCCCCCTTGAAACGGGGAGCCCGGGCTTACCCCGGGCCTGGAAAAGGAGCGGGGGGGCAGCTTCCAAGCCCCCCCTCTTTAGCCAGAGATCCCAAACAAAAGAAAGGGGGAGGGCAGCTTCGGACCACCCCCTTCTTTGAAAGGGGAGCGCAGGCTGACCCCGGGCCGACCCTGGGCCCCGAAAAGGGGGGAAGGGGGGGGTAGTTTCCAAGCCCCCCCCCCCTTAGCTAGGGCCCCCCCCCCAGCAAAAAAAAGCGCACGAAAGGGGGGGAGGGGGGGAGGGTAGTTCCGGAAGCCCCCCCCCCCCTTTTCAAGGAGGGGGAGGGGGGTAGCTTGAAGCTGGGGCCCCCCTTTTAATGAGAAATGTGCCACGAGCTTTTCTAACGTGCGTTGACGGCACCACGAGCGCGCTTTTCTAACGTGCGCTGACCGCTCCATCCCTTCGGTATGATGTGGAACACGATGGACGTACTGACAGCCACGATAGATTCGAGGCACGCCAACATACATCGAGCTATCCTGCGTTCCATGGGTAGTCGATGTGCCCTCAAAACGATGTAAGCGGATTGCAGAAGGGTCGAGGCCAGAGCACGATGCAGTTCGCTGGAGGGTTGCGGGCGGGACGGCAACCGGCATCGCGGGTCGTTCACGGAAAGCGCGGGTCGTCGGGGTCGGGCGGGTCGTGGGTGGTGCGGGGCGCATGTGGGTCGCCAGCAGGTCGCCTGCGGACGCAGAGGGTCGCCGAAATATCGCGAACGTGTGAAAGACATGCGGGACCCTGGGTGACCCCCCCATCATGTACGCAAACAGGTCTCAAAGTACAAAAGATCGGCCTCGTCGCTGACAATAGGCTGATGCCACGATGCGCGCGCAACGATCCAATTATTTACGCACCTGCCGTCATGGACTCATCCTTATCCGCCCCCTATGGACCCCTTTTCCTCTCCACCCACTCCTCCCATTCTTCCTCCTAAGAATCCTGGTTTCCCCGTCTATTGTCATCCTCCTGTTCCCCATCATCTCGTGCACATCCTCCTCATCCGCCTCCTCCCAATGCTACTCCTCCCGCTCCTGGTGGTCCTCCTCCTCCTCCTCCTCCTACGCCTCCTCCTCCTATTCCTCCTCCCAATCCGATAATTTAGGTGTGGTCTTGAGGCTATCAACGTTGATATTCGTGATAGTCGTCGAAATACCAAAACTATCAAAATGTTCGATTACAAATAACTCACAATGTTAATTTTAAGGAGATTACTCGTGTCCGCACTACTTTCTTTTATCCTCAACAGCGCCCGGAAGCCCGAAATGGAGTGTGTCCGTTCTCAATTCTGACTGAGAGAGGCGCATAGGGCCCAGGCACAAACCTCCCCGATCGGCCGTGAACCTCTGTCTCCTTCTCCTCCTCCTCCCCCTCCTCCTCCTGCTCCGCTCTCTCCTCCTCCTCCTCTCCTCCTCCCTCCTCCTCCTCTCCTCCTCCTCCTCCTCCTCCCCCTTCTCCTCCTCCGCTCTCTCCTCCTCCTCCTCCTCCTCCTCCGCCTCCTCCTCCTCCGCCTCCTCCTCCTCCTCCTCTTCCTCTCCCACCCATTCAGCAGCCCTGGTCCTCCTCCTCCTCCTCCTGCCCGTGCCCCTTCCACACAGCAGTCCTGGTCCTTTTCCTCCTCCCTTCCTCCTCCCCCATCATCATCGCCCGGGTCATCGTCCACCTCGCCCCACTCATCAGCCCTGGTCCTCCCCCTTCCTTTCTCTCTTTATCTCTCTCGCAACCGCCTCTGCGACTCCCCCTCGTCGCTCGCCCGCGCCGCGCGCGCGAGACGCCCCGCCCTCGCGAGCCCGGGGGGAGAGGCCTCCAACCATCCAACACATCATCGAACAAGGAGGACGGGGCGGGTAATGGTGGGCGGCCCGGCCGCTCCATACTTGGACCTGTAAACGTCGGTTGCACTAGACCTCTGTTTCAGTCGCGATTTACCAACCTGTTCATGTCCAACCCAAAATCCTGATCTGCATCTTTGCGCCAACCTTGTCCGCAACGACTGTAGACAACCTGCGTCCCAAGCGTTCAGTAAAAAACGCTGGAGTACAGAATCAATTGCAATTCTGTTGAGCAATCGATCGCAGACTGCGTCGAACAGGCTTTCGTCTTTGAACATGTTGAAGACGAGCTGGGTAACCCCAAGCTGGCCTTCAAAAGGCTGCGAGGTCGCATAACCGCTCGAACACGTAGTCGTGTTGTTGTTGTTCCCAACCCTCCTTGGTTGGGTATTCGTTTTGAATAGAGCACCGCGGTCGCGTCCTCCCGCCCCCCGTCCCGCCTCCTGCCTCCCACCACCTCCTGTATCCCGCGAAATTTCGTCCCTGGGGGGG